AGTTCAGAGTGGGGATTCTCTCCTACTGCTTTCTGGCTCTGCCGTTTGATCTAAACCTGGTTCCCAACATTTTCATCAGATTGACGTACATGGTCCTCTGGCATATTTGCCTTTGGGAGATCCATGTTCTGGTCTACCTCAATGACTAGCTAGTTTGAGGCACTCAGGTATTCAACTGTTCTGCTGGTCAGAGCTCTAGTTGTGTCCCAGTTGGCATAACATTGATGGTTCACAGCTCTCTACTGATCTGTGTCCGAAGTGTTTAATTCTGATGTAATATCACCTGCATGAGAGTCAGGTTGGTGAACTGCTTTGTGTAGAATGTGTATCCTCTTTGAGATGGCAAAACAGTACAAGGATCTTGGCAAGCCTTCTACCTTTCCTCTCTCTTTGGTGTCTCCTCTATATCTAGTTGGTGTGGTGTTATCCTTTCTGTCCTGGCTATTCATGGATAGCCTATTGATACCTAATACAGTCTTTAATACCTAATGCAATGCAGTTTTATTCCATTTAACATATTAGGGTACAATAAAAGTTATTAAATGAACATCAATACACAGTACTGTACACATTAAGCAGTAGAGTCCATTGTACACATTTTAGAAAATAGTATCAAAATAGTTGGTAACTCAAATGCCTGGGAACACACGTCCCATACAGAACAGTGCATTGAACATAATACAAATATAATATGAACAACGTTTACAAAGAGACATTGAAGGCCAAGGCTTAAAATATCGTTACGAAACTAGGTAGGTAGAGCTATGGGCTGTTTTTCTCGTCTGTGGTCTGAGGCACTGCCTGTCCAAAGTGGATGAAATGGAATGAATCGTTTGATACTGTTATGAAATTATACATACTTTATGAATGGATTAGCTTAATAATTTTTACGAATATTTTGAAACTGCCATGGTCAAAAAGTTAGGAAAGATAATTCAAACCAGTTTGAGGTGCTAAGGCATATTTACACTAAAAATAAGAAACATAAGCAAGACTTACGAAGATGACAAGAAATGAGAAACAAATCGATTGTGCATTAAAGAAAATTTAACTGCAGTACCTGCCAACATGTTAATATAAATATCCATTAGTCTTAAGTATTTAAGTGACTGCATTTCTGTTAACTTTAAAATCACTACAAATTCCTATTGTAGCCTTAATGATTATGTTATTTTTAACATTTGCCTGAAATGCTATGTCTATTAGTGGCTTTGCAAAGAAAAAAATGTACCTGTACCTAGCATCACTTTATTCATATTAATTAATTTAAAGCACTCTACTGTACTAATATAAATATGTACATACCAATTGTTGGAAACCCCAGTGAACATTCTAATTATAAAGAAAAGCTGCAAATACAGTAGAACCTCGGTTTACGAATGCTCCGGATTATGAATTTTTCAGCATATGAAGTCAATTTCCTAGTAAAATTTTACTATGTACAAAGTTTAAATCGGAATACGAGTGTGTGTTGATACAGTACGTGTATGGGGCAAGTGAGCGAGTTCTGCTGGGCGCGGGACGAGGCATGCTCGGTTTACCAATGTATCCCACCTAGTGACAACCGCGCTTGAATTTTTTATGAAGAATTTAATTTGTTTTTCTGCTTTTTGGTTTCTGAACATAACAGTCCTTATTATATATCACGCCATGGGTCCAGTTGGTGGAGGAACACGGCAAAGAACTGACCACTGAAGAACTCCTAGCCCTTCACAAGAAGCAGCAACAAGAGACAGCCGAGGAAAGTTCTTCAGGAGAGGACGAGGCAGTAGAGGATGTCCCTTCCTTTATTAATTAATTAAGAAAATGTGTAAAATATGGGAAGAACTGCAAAGTTTTGCTGAAAAGACTCCCAGATAAAGCTGTAACAGGCTCATTACAGACAAGTGTTAAAATGTAAGGAAAAACCCAAGTGTCTATAGACAAATTATAGAAAATTGTATAATTGCTGATTTCTGCCATGTTTCCCCCCCCTTTTTTTATTCCTTTTTTCAACACAATTTATACTTTAATCTCAATTACTATTAAGTTTTAGTCCAAGTGTTTTTTCCCTCCACACATTGCCCGAAACGCTATGCATATTAGTTGCTTTAGGTACGTTTATGTACTGTTTATGTACTTGTTATGTACTATGTTATGTACAATGTTTATGTACTAGCTCTATCTATAAATCCAACATTATGTTTGTAACTCATCTTCTATGTATGTACTTTTACCTGAATAAAAATGAGATTCTCAGCAAGACAAGCAAGCAGTGAGCCACAATCGGGTCCTAGTGGTATGCCTGCAAAATGTAGGAGAGTACACACCAGAAAAGTCATCACTGCCTGATGTAATAATGGAAGGGGACTCTCCTCCTCAACCCATCACCCTCTTCCTCACCATCTTCCATATGCCAACAAGAGTCCTCAATAAAGGCAAGGTATAGTGAAATATGCGAGTAGTATTCTGTATAAAATGTATTTTGAAGCTAATATTTTTGGGTGTGTGGAATGGATTAATTCAATTTACATTATTTCTTATACCAAAATTCGTTTCGGTTTACAAATTTTTGGTGTACAAACAGTCTCTTGGAACGGATTTAAATTCGTTAAACCAAGGTGCCAATGTACAGATTTTTTTGGGGGGGGTTGATTATATTTTAATCATCTGGAGAGATCATCTTAATTTCATAGGTTCACTGCCAACTTATTTTCACAAATTTCATACTTTCCTTCCTGAGTAAGCTAAAAATTCAAAGAACTTTATTCATTTACTACTTGAATTAGAAATTGTTAAACAACATTAATCTAACAAAATGCATTAGCCCTGATCCTCCCACTTTGCTCGATACCCAATAAAAATTTACACAAATTTCTGCAAATGAAGCATTTGGTGCCAAGAAGACTGGCCATGAGCTTTCATATACATTCAACTGTATTTGGCATAGGAAACTATTTATAAAGCAAATTAAGTTTAAAAATATAATTGTACTATACTGTACTGTGTTCAAACCAAGATATACCAAGACAAAGGTTGCCAGGAGACAAAAGTAAAAACAGGACCTAGTTTTGAATTCAGGGAAAGGAGAAACCAAAACTAGGACAAGGCGAAGCCAAATCCAGGGCCAGGCGAGGCCAAATCCAGGGCCAGGCGAGGCCAAATCCAGGGCCAGGCGAGGCCAAATCCAGGGCCAGGCAAGGCCAAATCCAGGGCCAGGCGAGGCCAAATCCAGGGCCAGGCGAGGCCAAATCCAGGGCCAGGCGAGGCCAAATCCAGGGCCAGGCGAGGCCAAATCCTTTATCTTAATTATTTATTTTTTTATTGATATATACAAGAGTTGTTACATTCTTGTACACCCACTAGTACGTATAGCGTTTCGGGCAAGTCCTTAATCCTTTGTTCCCTGGAATACGACTCCGCGAAGAATCGTTTTTACAACTAAGTACCCATTTAACTGTTGAGTTTAACAGAGGCTACAGTTAAGGATTTGCGCCCAGTAAATCCTCCCCGGCCAGAATACGAGCCCAGGACAAAGAGCTTGCAGAACGCCAGGCGAGCTTCTTACCACTACGCTGCAGAGACTGCTATTTAGTTATTTCATGAGTCAGGCATCTAAATGGTAGGATAAAGCTACAAACAATCTTAAGGAACTAGATTGAGAAAAAAAAAACAAAAAAACTTTACTCTGATGAGCATAACATTAATTCAATTGATTCCAGGAACCTCCCCTTCTCAGTGAAAAGAAACTTCAAACAAAACTTCCCCATGCTTTCTGAGCCACTTCAGTTAAACATTTGCTGACAAAAATTGTGTGTTGGTTTGCCAATGACAAATAATTGCCAAAGTAACAAAGTACAGGGTAGAATACCTGTACTGTATGTTATAACACAGAAGGGCCAACTCACTACAATTTTGTTATAGTACTGTAGAAATAAATAGGAAAAATAGAAAGCTGAAAGTTGGGAAAACAATAGCAAATTTAAGAACATCAAAGATGAAAAAAAGAACTTATTTAAGTAGCAAAATAGAACCAAACGCAGGAGTGGGTCACCTATTTGCTTCCTAAATTTTAACAGAAAATACTGTTTAGATTAATAAAAATATGTTATAACTGCAGTAACAAATTTGTTTAAGTTTAGGGTCTGAAAAGACCTGGGTAAATATTGGTTTGGTAATAGGGTTGCTGATTTATGGGATATATTACTGGTAACAATATAGATGTTGGTTCACTGTACCATTTCAAATGTAGGTTCAACATATACTGAACAGAATATGAACGAGTTTAGGTGGATATAAATAAGTTGCCTCATATGACCCAATATAATTAGAACCTTTATTCGTAACAACTTACACAAAGTGTTGCAACAATAGCTGGACTAAAAAAGGTGTACAGCAGTCTAAATCAAGCTTATATATTTAGGCATAAATTGAATAACATTTGTTCTGACGTGCATTTCCTTTGTTGTTCTATATGTACAGGTACAGTATTCTGTACCAATATGTTCTAAATACAGTATCTCATCATCATGTGCATCTCTTATCTCTGCACATGGTTGTGTATGCCAAGTCTTAAGTGAAAATTTTTGTTACCGACATAACTTCCCACTCCATCAGTGGTACGTAAATGGGGTAAAGATGACAACAATGATGATAATGGTGAAAGTAAAGAAATTTTAAAGAAGGATTTCTGAAAAAATAAATTCTCAATATGTTCATACTGTTATGATATTGTATGAATGTGTAGATGGATACTGAACTATGTTAATGGAGAATAGTTGAATGAACAAGTTTTTGATATGTAACCGGCACCACAACAATGTCATAGGCATCATACTAAAAATTTTACAATCTCTATTCGACCCTGAATGAATGAGGTAAATTGGAAGAAACAGGCTCTATGACCAAAAGGACAAAAGGCTCATCATTAGAGGATGGAACATTAACAAAAGAAAATTAAATACACTTGGTGAGTTCAGAATCAATTGTTCTATTCAAGAATTTTAAAAATTAGAACTTACTTGTGAGATAGCTGCAGCCTTCTCTGCTGTAATGCCATCAACTTCTATTTTTGCTTTGGTAGCCGCCTTTGTTGATTGTTCTGCATATGATACATCCCCTGCCTGCAGCTTTCTAGACTCTGATGACTGTCCTGAGGCAGATTCATAACTGTTTTTGTCTGTCACAACCTGCAAAAATGTAAGAATTATTTAATCATTTCAAATTAATTGGAACATTGTTTAATTAAGTATTCATGAATATAGTGTCTTTGGAAACATTCTTAAAATACTTTGTATAATTCTTATGTACATAATTAACAAAATATTACAATGAAAAGGTAGTCTCAGTTAAACACGTCTTCAATAATTAAAAGCAAATATATACGGTACAGTACATTACTTTAAATATTTCTAAAATGTTTTTTAACCACTGCAGTTAATCTCTACGTGCTACAATAAACCAAACAAAAATAAATTAAGCCTTCACCTTTGTTTTCGAGGAAGATGTCACCTTCTTCTGCTCGAACTTTAGTTCTTTGGGATTACTGCCATTGGTCGACCCTGAGGTGAGAGGCGAGGAACTGAGCTGATCCTGCTGAACATTCAGGTTCGGTAGGTCAAAATCATCCTCCAGTGCCAGCTGCTCTGTTGATCCCATCTGGAGGGCATCATTGAGGGCATCCATAGAACCCATATTAAAGCCTGAGGCTTTACGCTTGTTAAAGCCTGACTGGAGTGCGGCCGAGGATGTACCCTGCTGCATAGCTGCGTTGCTGGCCAAAGACATTGACCTATTGTAGTTAACACTATTGCTTTGCTGCAACATAAAATAATGATTTGATTAGAATCTTTAAATATACTGTAGTCTCTAAATGGATTATAATACTGTATTTATAACATAAGTACAAAAGTTTATGTAAATAAACTAACCCAGTAGTTAGTAATTTTTGAGTAAATCTTTAAAAAGATATTCTGTACCGAATTTATTGGGTAAAATTATTACAGCCTAATTATTACTTTTCCTATTTTACTAAATAATGTTGCCATTTTTGGTGTACGAGACATGATGAGCCCATTATGTGCCTCTATAACCTTTTCCACTACTGCCCACAAGATGGGTATGGACAAGTCAAGCCTAACACTGACTGCCTGTCCCCAAACAGTGAATTATTATAATTATTCAAATTATTATAAAGTTCACTTTCAACAAGTTTTAGGAGATCAATAGTTAAAGCAAAAATATCTTTAAATTTTATTAGTCCTCAATTAGTTTTATGTAGGGACATATATCTAGGCAGATAGGTCCTTGCATATAATACAGGTACAGTACTTGCATACAATGCTATACTAGTATTAATAATTTTACAAGATCTTCTTGTCAGACTGGCAACTTGGCACAGGTGTGGACAAATGATGAATGAAAGCAGAACTGTCGTTACTGGCACGATGTTGTGTCCATAATGCTAAATCAAACTTCTTCCCGAGGCATTTCCCTATCAAAATGTAATTCGGCATCATATTTGGTAATTTGTATTTTAAATTACCTAACAAGATGAGCTTTAACTAGTGATAGTTATGTAATTTCAAAGATAAAAACAGTCAATGAAAAATTAAATAAAGTTACTATAGATTTTAATATTTTGAGAGCAAAAAAAAAATTACTGGTCTCACTTTCCTGCCTTAAAAAAAAAAAAATAGTTTTATTCTGCCAAAATTAAAATTTGAGAAGAAATATTTTTCATTAATAACAAAGGCCTGTTAAACAGCCTTAGTCTGGAATCTATTATTTGTTTGATATGTAAATAAATCTTATGTAAATAAATCTTGTTTAACAATGCACTATGTTTTATTGAACTGTGCCAACCTCTGACATCAATGACGTCAATCTTGTCAAGCAGACCAAGTCAGCTGACTAGGAAAATGTAAAAATAACATTAAGCCAGAGCAGTTAATAAAAAATATATATACATATATATATATTGCGATAAATTTCCGTTATTTTTCTCAGTTATGATAAATAACAATATACAGTAGTATAGTTAAGTTTACTCTAATAAGAGAGACATGGTTCTCTAACTAATCTTCTAGCAAGGGTACCAGAGCCATGTATGTAGAACCAATCCAATATATAGTGTATCTACATCCACAAAATCTTACGTTTTCCCCATACAAAACCACGGTAAAAACCATTCAATAAATGTCGGAAAAACAAAAAAACACCCACAAATACCTTTACCAATTTGTGAAAAAAGTGACTTCCCACGTTAGTGCCCAATATTCAAACATTAATATGGCAAAACTAACTGTTTGCCAGATTGTCTGTTAGATTTTGAATTTGTCTATTTCGGATTTGAGAAGAACAAATGACACGAGGGTAATGTGTGATTGCTTTTTTGTATCACACACATTGCATGTATTTGTTGGTGCTGGGCTTAAAGCCTATCAACCTCTGTAGGATTGTTAAGGTCGCCACAATGGCTTACTGACCAACCTGCTAGTGTTCTTCAAGCCTGGCAAGGGTCCAGGACTGAAGTATACTCTGTGTATATACACTGAGAAGTTGGGTACACCTAATGTGTGTGTACTAATATTAAATAAATAAATATTATATATATTATATATATATATATATCCATCCCTTAAATGTATTAAAACAATTAAAACAGCTGAACTTACTGATGCCATCTCGCTGATATTAGACTTGACTTCAGACATAGATGACTTGAGTTCGTTAAGGTTAGACTTGCTGATGCTAGAGGAGGACTTGAGTTCACTTAAGTTACTGGAGGACTTTACTTCACTTAAGTTTGAAGAAGAATGCGAGTGTGAGGTGTGCTGCGATCTCTTTAGCTGACTACTGCTGCTGCTGCTGCTGCTCCGGCTGCTCATGAGCTGCTGTAAATACAAGAGAGCTATATTAGATACAGTAAACAACAGTGCATTGCTCTTCAACAACAACTTAAAATACCAAAATACAAATTGGCACGATTATGTTAAATATAAATGTATTACAAGTATATGTCTTGACCTGGCTTATTGTAGTCAAAGAATATAAAAATAAATAAAATAAAATAGTTTATTCGGGTAAGGTACATACATACAAGAGATTTTACAAAATTTGATCGATTTATTGATCTAGTGATTATTGAGCTAGTACATACAATGCCTAAAGCCACTATTACGCAAAGCGTTTCGGGCAGATACATAACTCATATACATAAATATATAAGGCAGATACATAAATATATAACTCTTGCTAGTATGAGCTGCCCTCAACATTCTAGCAACATGCTAGAATGCTCAACACACTAATATGTTGCAAATCCCTGAACCGCAGGATTTGGCATCTATATTACTACACCTGACGCACCCTTGCGACGAAGCCTAATGCATTAGTCATCAAAGTAAAGCTTCAGAACTGACACATTTACCCTGAATTACCTTTTACATTTAAATCTTTCTTTCAAGGCACAGTATTTTAAACACGATGTCATGTACACCCGTTAACACATGGATACTTTTTGTAATATACACACATTTATTGATTCTCTAAATAAAACTTGTCCCAAATCATAACGAGACAATGGGACACTACCCGTGAAAAAAATCCTTAAAACGCAAAATGTGGCAAGTGATCAGGAGGAGGATAATGAAGTATCTACATATACAGAGAAGTAGTTAATAATACTGGTATCCAAGGGCTCTCCAACATCACAAATTCAACATTTACAATCCTCTAAGGCCGCATTCTTGCAGTTCCTTTGTTACCACAATCACAGACCCAGAATAAGGACTTGCTTCACTTTGCAATCAGTGAAACCAATATATAATTTTGTTTTATCATACTGCTAGTAATTGCCACCCATAATTTAGGAACCACCGACTAAATTCCTGTCTTTAAACCCTGATTAAATAACTTATGAAGTAACTTTTGAAACCAGGTACAGTATCTCTCCGTTTGGAATTCTTCTCTGAAAATGAAACAACCCACTTACGATATTAATCAACGGGGGCATAAAAGAGCTAGACCCGTTGTGCTATTTCTGCCCCTACTCAGCGGGGCATAAAAAGAGCAATGTAAGCAATGATAGCTAAACACTCGCAGGATGGACACGAGCATAATACAATAACTGAGCTTATAAAATAACCATAGGAAATCAAAACATTGCAAAATCGTATGCATGTATCTGCAATAAACTTGAGTAGACGATCCCTTAGGCCAGAGACCAATATGGTGTTGATGGCGGTTGCTGTGTACCTCAACCAGCCCCGCCTAACCCGCCAGGCTTTATACTAACACCACTGCCAGCCCTCAGCCCTGCACGGGAGACATCTCCCATCACGCAGGGTGCAGTCGCACCTCCACAGATCTCCAGTATCAGCTCTTGAGACTGGTGATGGCTCAATAGGGCCACCACTTACGGGCTATTCATGCCCGTGCCACCTTTTGGGTGGCTTAATCTTCATCAGTCAGCCCTCAGCCCTGTCTATCATCCCGGGGCTTACACCAACACGACACTCCTCGCCCATCAACCCGGCCACGGTGCCAGGTGGTGCCAGGTGGGGACTTCTCCGTCAGCAGCAGCTGAGGCAGTGTTGACTCAGTGTTACTGGGAACAAGCTATCACACCAATTAACCCGCCCTCATCAATAAGCGACGTAAGCTCGTTAATAGTTACCAAATACCATATTCATGATTGTAAAACTACATGACTCGCATATGATCACGTTCGCACATTTCTCTAAGAGTGCTTTGCTCACTACCTCTTGGATTCGCAACTCTGCAAGTGCTCCACCCACGTACTACACAAATACAAATAATCGCCAACAGAACCTACAAAACTAACAATTTCAATATATAGTTTGGCGTAGGTTAAGTATATAATAATTTATCACACAAACCCGTTTTCAATGAACAGAACGTAAAAACTGAAAAATGCGTCTTGGCCACCGCTTTAACGAGCCTGACCTGAGGACAGGTTAAGCGCGCACACATACAGGTCTTATGACACAGTTGTAACCACAGCTTAATCCGTGAGTTTGGCAACTGTTGTGGGTTGCACCCTGTGAAAGATCTGTAATTGGCCTAGGGAGACCTCGATAAGCCAGACGCTTCCTGACCGCGACAATGGCACCTACAGTAGGACCGTCAGAGTTGTACCCAATCAACTCATTGATCGATTGATGAAGATTAAGCCATGGCACGGGCATGAATAGCCCGTAATGTACCCAATCAACTCCACCCACTTCATATACAACACGTATCAAAGTTCTGGAAAAGTCCTCCGCGGGGAGAAGCACCAGCAGTTTGCAGGCAGAGCGCACAGCGCCCCGGAGTCGACTGCTGACCCGAGCAAACCTCAGAATCAAGGCAGCCAGCAAAACACAACTTGTCGACTCGCTCATACAGAAAAAAAAACTTTAAAGGCACGTAGGCGGAATATACAGCGGAGGCCTTGAACTCTTACCTGTAGCAGGTGGAGTTAGTGAAAGGCCCCTGGGTACGGAGTCCGGGCTGTGCTCCTTCAGTCCTTCACACCACACCTCAGTATTCAACAACATTTGTGTGTATCCTCTTACGAAACGTGTACATATTTCCTCAAGCATGGCGTTTTCTGCTTTTATTAAGCAGTTTAATAGCTCCGAAACACTTTAAGGAGCTAATAAACGTTATATTGCTCAATTTATGATATATCAAAGCTATGGATATAGCGTAGATATATAATAACGCTATATCAATAATCTCCTTGGGTCAAGAACAACCTCGCAGAATTTCCAAGCAATTATCAAAAGGCACCAAGCCGGGAAGGCTAAGTAACACCATCAGAATGTCCAAGCTCGTAAACTGTTTAATAAACACACTAAGCCGCCCTGATGGAGGAAAAGATGCACAGGTTTCCTAAGTGGACACAGAAATACTTCACGAATGCTAGGAAGACACTACGGGCTCACCATAGACCGTGCTACTTGGAACTTTGTTCCAGGTAGTAAATCTTTAACAATAGGAAGCGTGAGAACTGGTACTAGCAAGCTCTCCACCCGGACGTATCATGCTCTCCTCCGCCCACACCTTCAACCCCCACACACCACCACTAACCACCTCTCAACATACAATAGTTATATTGATCATGTTTTATAGCACGCCCCCCACCCCCACACACACACCCCTGCCACCGAGAGGTGAATAAGCAGATGAAAAGTCACACTAACGTGGCTGAAAAATGTTGACCAAACCCCACACACTAGAAATTGAAGAGACGACGATGTTTCGGTCCGTCCTGGACCATTATCAAGTCGATTGTGAATAAGGTTGAGAGCGGGTACCATTCCGGCCTCGCTTGTGTGGAAGTCGCCCTCGCCTGAAACCCGAAACTCAGTTGCTGCTCTTTAATTTCACAGAGCCACATTTACTACATTGTCAGTTTGAGTGTTGCGTGCGTGTGTCCTGAGCGCGCTCGCGCACAAACAAGTCGACACTACACACTGAAATATATTATACGAATACGACCGCTTCTCTATTGGAAGAAATAAATGAGAATACAAATAGCACACTGATAAATCTGGTTAATTGAATTGGTGGATGGGTTTACCTCCATACAGAGTGCGTGGAGGATGCGTGTACCTCTATACAGAGTGCGTGAAGGATGGGTGTACCTCCATACAGAGTGCGTGGAGGATGGGTGTACCTCCATACAGAGTGCGTGGAGGATGGGTGTACCTCTATACAGAGCGCGTGGAGGATGGGTGTACCTCCATACAGAGTGCGTGAAGGATGGGTGTACCTCTATACAGAGCGCGTGGAGGATGGGTGTACCTCCATACAGAGTGCGTGAAGGATGGGTGTACCTCCATACAGAGTGCGTGAAGGATGTGTTTACCTCCATACAGAGTGCGTGGAGGATGGCTGTACCTCCACACACAGCGCGTGGAGGATGGGTGTACCTATACACCAACGCTGCAGTTCCTCGTGTACTGACACTGGCCGCCTTGCATTGTTATGCATCAGAGGGCCACTGGCTGGGGGGCCACGCCCTCGCGTCGCCTCCCCCAGCCCACACCTGTCTTCCTGGTACTCCCCTCTCGCGGCTCTTATCCCCCTCAACCACCACGTTCCCCGAACAGCGACCCGCAAGCTGCTACACACCGAACGACAGTGCCTAACGTCTCTCAGGTGGTCTTAACACTTTATAGCTTAGAAGGCTGATATTGCCATAGGTGTGTGGACGGGACGGGACGGGCAATCCTGCAGGGAACCACGAGGAACGGGTCCCCGTCAATATGGTTGTGGGAGGAGGAGGTAGGAAGTAAATTGTTTATTTGCAATAATATACCTAGTTCTCAAATCCCATTGACTGACTGCCTGTGAGGTGGAGACCTGCCCTACAAGCGGTCCCTAATCGAATGGTCCCGGGTTCGATCCACGGCGCCGGCGAGAAACAATATGCAGAGTTTCTTTCACCCTGATGACCCTCTTACCTAGCAGTAAATAGGTCCCTGGGAGTTAGTCAGTTGTCACGGGCTGCTTCCTGGGGGTAGAGGCCTGGTCGAGGACCGGGCCGCGGGGATACTAAAGCCCCGAAATCATCAAGATAACCTCAAGATAACCACCACCTTGGAAGGCGAGGGATGGCGGGTCGTCCGCCTCGTGGCCTTGGCTATTACCCCCACCCATCCAAATTCCTGAGCAAGTGATTAGTGTGCTATACCACCTTGAGGGTAGGTAGAGATGGGAAGCTGGTGTGACGCTGTGTGCGTGAGAGCCTTGACGAAACCACCGATGTATTAGCATTTGAAAAGCACCGAATCACCTTCTGTGGTTGATTGTTCAATAAACCCCTGAACTATATGTTAGCACATCTCTAACCCTGTCCATGGAGGACAGAAGAAAATGTATA